TATTGAGTGTACCATTGACGACGCATCGGTTGCTCCGTTGAAGCAGGCTTGCTCTTTGGGTTTCCCACGTACATCGAATACGCCGCTCATGCAATTGGGGTCTGATCTAATAACTTGGTATGCCATGAGGATGGAGATGTACTATTCATAATTCATCTAGGAAAAAATTACAATTACCCTACATGCATGCGTAGTTCTGTAAATAAATACTACTCCGTATGTATATTCCGTATTTGAAAAAAGCTGAAGAACTAATTGAAATAGATTGCATTTAAAAAAGTTTTATTGAACAAGAGTTTAAAATAGACCCATTTGTACAAATTTGTTCATATCATTACATAATTAAATTTGTATCAGAAAATTCGATGTGTGTTTGAGTTTATATGCTTTTATTTACCGTATGAATGTGTAAGATATTGTTATGAGTTATTCAACGAAAAATTATACGTAGTAAATTATTGGAATTAAACGTCTTTTCACGTTTCATACTACTTTTTGTTTCGGGCATCCACTTTGTGCATACTTCAGCCAAATGGTAATGGGCTTTAGTTTATTGGAATCTAAATGTGAAATAAATGTTATCTTATTTTTTTTAAGAATGTTTTTTAGAGATAAAAAACTAAATCGAGAAACAGCAACACCATAACTAATACGGAGTATAGTGTATTTTTGCCTTCTTTACAAAAAAAAAGAATCTCGGTAAAAAATTTATACATTGGACGGCAAATAAGTGGATGTGATATACTGATATTGTTTAAAAAAGAGAGTAATGACTATAAATAATTTGGCAATGATATTTTAGTGTCTCAATGCCTGCAGTAAATATCCTCACTTTCTATAATAATATATCATTTGCTTTCATGCTAATATCCTTGAATCCGAAATCCGAATGATATACGTAGTACATAGGAATAATATATAGCTGCAATTTATTTTTCCTTTTCACATTAGAATTTATGGCTATTAGCCCTAAATGGGACTAAAAGTAATCCTAATTCCACACTAGGACTCTACTCAATTTATTCCCAAAGTATGAGAAATATATGACTCTTCTTCCTATTCTACCCACAACCTGTAATTTCTAATAGATTCATTTATTAATACAAAAAATCATAGTTTTATTTATGATAAAAACATAAAAATCATAAAAATATTTATGAATTAATAAAAAATTGGGACAAATAATATACCATAAAAATATTTAAAAAGTAAAATAAAATACCTAAAAATATAAAAAATATGTAGTACACTACCTATGCATCCTCCGTCGCCCAGCACCACAATCTCCGATCGTCGAGAAAAAAATGAAATTTTGTGTAAAAAAATGCCATAAAGATGACATTTTTACTCTTTGAAAATATTCAACTTTTTTTTCTTTCAGAATTGCCATTAGGATAACATTTTTTTCCCCAACTTGGCGACCTTTTCCAGCGACCAGAGCTGGTGGTGCTAAAAGGTGATTAAGGTGGTGGTGGTTGAGGTCTGTATATTTTTTATTTTTTTAATGATTTTTATTTGATTTGTTTTGATATTTTATGTTTTATAACGATTAATTAAAAAATCTATTAGGAAGGACAAGGGAATGGGTGGAATAGGAAGAGTTAGTCCTATTTTGAGAATTTAATAATTGAGCTCCTATTGTTGCAATTATCTTTTTCATTTAGTCATATTTAGGGAAATCTCCCTAGAGTTTAATGCTCAACGCACTTCTTTAACGATATTTTCCCTAATTTCATTTTCACATATGCCACCCACTTCTAGGAAAATGAAGTAGGTGAAATCAAAAGTTTTAAATCAATCGAGATACAACAGACAATATTTTGAAATTAATTTATATTTTATTTATTAGAGTTACTTTAATTTTATATCATTTGGAATATACTTAGAGAATTAATATCCCGTGCATCGCACGGGTACTACACTAGTAGAGAAAGAAAATAAAAAAGTATATAAATTATTAAAAAAATCCAATAAAATTAAAAAAGGAGTAAAATAATTCGTAAAAAATAAATTCTCAAAATTACCAATGTGAAACATTAAGAATCATGAAATTTAGAAAATATGTAGATGCTAAAGAATTGTAAAAAAAAATAAAGAGTCCGAATTCTGAAAATTTGCAAATAAATACTACGTATATTAAAATGTGGAAACATTCATAAAACTAAAATTATAAAATTAAACAAAACAGAAAATAAGTTTTTTTCTTAAAATGTAGTTATATTTGTTTTGTATTGTTAATAAATATGCAAATTATGTTTTTTATAGTTTATTTGTGTTTCCTATTGATTTTCTTAAATCCAAGTTTAACATTGTTGTCTATATGTTTGATTTTATTCTAGAGAAGCAAAACGTAGAGAAACCTAAATAAAAAGAATAACAAAAATATAAATAATCAAATTAATAGATAATAAGCAACAAAAAATATACGATACAACAAAAAGAAACATGATACAACCACTGTTTTAAAAATCGCTCTAGGCGCCCGACTAGTCCCCGCCTAGGCGCTAGGCGGTGGTCGGGCGCCCCGATTTTGGTCTAGGCCCTCCGACTAATTGAATCGGCGCCTAGGTGAATTCGTCGGCCGTCTAGGGCGCCTATAGCTAGTTGCCCGCCCAGAGCGCTTAATGGGCCGCCTAGGCGTCTAGATTCATCGAACAATTTGTTTTTTTGCCTTTTTATTATAGTATATCCTAAGAAATATGTACTTTTAACTTTGACAATGCATGTGAAGAAAACTACTAGTGAGTAAGTGAGTAGATATAATATATTATTAAATGTGATAACTCTATCATTCATGCATGTTAGTGTGTATGTGTGTGTATATATTTTTTATACACACACAAATACAACATTGCTAATCATATTTATGCAAAAATATTGATAAAACTACAATTTCGATGTCTCCGATTAGTCCCTGCCTAGGCGCCCGCCAAGCCGACTAGGCGCTAGCCGCTGGGCTGGCGCCCGACTAGCGCCTAACGCCTTTTAGAACATTGGATTCAACAAAAAGCAACACCATGAAACAAAAAGCAACACCATGCAACAAAGAGCAACAAAATAAAAGTAGCACAATGTATACAAAACTCAATCTTAATTTCCACATTCAAGACCAGTATTATAGTTATAACATAACAATATAAAAGAATATACAATTAAATTGTTTTTAGCATAAATACTACATGTACATGAGGGCTGACCAATGTTGCTCGCTACCCTTGAGAATGTCCAATATGGTAAAACGAGAATCAATATTACAAAGAAATCCATCAACTTTGCATTCAGTATATTTTGTTGTGCACTGTGGTCAAAATATGCATTTAGAAGAGAAGAACCGTGTCTCTCACGGCTTCCCCTTCCCAGGATTCCGAAGTATAGTAGAACAATGATGCCATGTTTCACTTTGTGCTTCTTCACAAATTCAAATTTGGGAGCGATTTCCTTAACTTTGTAATATAATGGAATAACCTTGAAGAGTTTTCAAGTCTAACTGCACTCGTCCTGAGAACTTCTTAATGTTTCAATAGAACCTATGTCAGTAAACATAGAATTCAAATCCAATCTCAGTCACATAAAATAAAAGAAAACTAACAATCAAATTTAAGTGCATATAAGGAAGAATAAAGAAGCATGTGACTTTTACAAATTAGTCACTCTGAAGGGCTATAATCCACTAAGAAAAGCAGAGAATATTGTACTTTACTTGAGCTAATAAGTATCCTTGATTTCCCACTATCATTTTCCTGAGAATTCCAAGAGGAAATTTTAAGTAAGCAAATTACAATACAGATAAATACTACAAGTATCTACACACACAAAAATATCCAACCGACTTATCAAGCAAGCATCAAAATCTCCACATAAGTGTTATTTACCTCTATATCATAATACAAAGCCTCAACACAAAATGAATTAAAAGTTTAGGAAAACTAACCACGGCAAGAAATTGCTTATTACAAATATAAACTAAACAAAGAGCTCCCAAACTATCTAGGTATTTTTGTTCTATCTGCAAATAAGGAAATAATGTAATTGAACAAAATCAAGTATTAGAACATTCCGTGAATGCACTTATGATTTTACTCTACATGGATATCAACCATCCAGAACCATTCCCGAATCACAAATATTAGTATTAATGTGTACCAATAAGAAGAGGGATATAAATTCGAGATAGCAGCTGAAAAATTTGGATAACCTTGTCTTGGCCAACAAATTAATACTCTGTAGCAATTTATTGGCATAGAAACATGGTCTGTAAGAGCTCTTAAAAATAACATAATTGCTCAATTGCACTCCCTTTCTGTACGGAGTAATCACATGTTCATGCATTAATCAATTAATTTTCTAGAATAGACAAAGATATAAGATATGATTTTTTAGAATGATATAAGATATGAAATTGTTATAACTATGTCTATACTTTCACCAAAAATACAGACATTTTTGTCTTTTCATACGGGGTTGGGGTGCCCATTCAGATTTTTAGTTTAGTGATAAGGCTATTTTTGAAATAAATATCTCAAAACTGATAAATTGAAAGTTTAAATATGAAAAGATAAAAACAGGGGAAGATAAATGAAATGCTAAGGGGAATAGTGGCTTAAACGGGTATTTATTTTTACAAACTGGCCCAATGCAAAAATTAAACTGGCCCAGTGTAAAATATTATGCCCCAGTGCAAAAGAAAGTCCAGCTCTAAGGCCATAAGCGCAGGAGCAACCAGAAGCAAAGCCTGAGACGGATTCGGTTATCACGCAGTCAGGCAGAGTTGCAGACGCACGCGGCACGCCTCAGCCAACACCGCCGACTCACCGGGCGTCGGCCGCGTCGCCGACTCGCCGTATGCTCGCAGCTCGCCGACTCTTCGGAGACGCACCCAGCACCCTAAGGTCTAACCTGCTCGCTGACTCGCCGTCTTGACCTCTTCTCCTGGCCTCTTGCTCGTCTGCGGACTGCACATCTATGGCTTGAGCCAATTTGGACTCCATTCTCCAGTATTTTGGCTTTTCTCCTCTCGTCTGCTGAGCCAAGGTATGTACATTTTATGTTTTTACAATTTTTATCAGTTTGTGTTAGTTTATTAGTTTATTAGTTAAATCAGTTTGTGTTACTGCGACTTAGTGTGCAATTGATTTGTGTAATTTTGTTTTTACATGTGTATTAATTTATTTGTTAAATTAGTTTGTTTTAGTGACTTAGTGTGCAATTGCTTTGCGTAATTGTGTATTTGGGTGCTTTAAAATTTGAATTGTGAAATAGAAAATTAGGAATGTCAAATGTGGTTTGTGAATTTTTTAAAATATTAATATGAAGTATATGAATTTAAATAAAATATTGATTAGTTTTTAGTTTTTGGGTAATTTTAGTAGGTCTGGCTACTCGATCTATTCCATAGAGGCAAAAATCACATTGCTATCGTTTTATAAGCCTACTACAAGCACACAAAGTAGACAAGAGTTAAATGTCTCAATTGGAACTCCTTATATCTCATCCGCTCAAGAGGAAGTAGTTTCCGATGCACTTGAAATTGAGAGGGATTCGGGAAAACGCAAAACAATAAGTGATTGGCCGTTAGAAAAAAGAGATGAAATTAGACGATCTTATTTGATGCCTGGACCTTATCCACCGAAATTGAACTTTTACAAAGGCCGAGTTCACAAAGATAGGATACGTCGTTTTCAAGCCGCTTGGTTCAATGAGTCTGTCGTAGATGAGTTTGCTAAGGTCAAAGAGCGTCGTGTTCAGTTAGCGTTTTAGTTTCAAACATTGTATGTATTGTTGAAAACATATTACTATGAATTTTAATGGATTAACATTATGCTTACACTGTTGTCGCTTTTAAAATTTGTATATAATGTTTTTTAGAATTTTAGTGTATAGTCGGCCCTGGACGCGCTTACCCGCCTTGATGAAGATTGCGGCATCTCACGCGTCATTTTCCAGACTCCGTTTACTCTCTTCGATGTCCGCCGCAACACAGCGTGCCCGGAGTTTCTTCTCCGACGACACCGAAAGCGCGGTGTACAAACACACCCTCAAGTTCCAGAAGCCATCCACCATACCACACACTCCCAAAATCCATAACTCTGTCAGTTGCATCGGAACAGTCGATTTTCCTCTCAAGAGATTCAACACCTCGGGCGGTTCGTTGGGTGTCCATACTTTTCTCAGCGTCTCAAGCTCTATTTTGTTCAAACCTTCTTTCAAGTAAGAATTCACCAGTTTCCTTATCTTTTTCCCTTATATGTTTAGTCAATTGTTTATTTTTACTATCCGTGGATATCAATTAAATCATTGTCAGTGCTTTGAGCTGTTTTGCAGTATACATTTCTGGACTATCAATTCATAACTTTTTGAAAAAATGATCTAATTTCTTGAAATTGGTATCCTTCTGTGTTGCTCGTGTATGGGTATGTGCGTATCCTGCATACAAATATTTTGAAGAAGAGGCATACGAGTATGTAAATGCAACACTTTTTGTTTTTAGATCTTTGTAAGATATTCTTTTTTCTTCCTTACTAGATATATTGTTTTCATTTTAGTTTTTTCTTAATTCTGAGGAAATCTTCATCTGGAAAAAATGTTAATTTCACTTACACAACTTCATTCTAAACATGCCACTTCAATTTTATAACTCTTTGGAGACTATTACTCAAGTAAAAACTAAGTAAAACTAATAATAGCTGATTTTACTATAACTCTCGTTGACTCTTTAAAATGAAGTATAAGTATTTTTGGAATGACTTGAAAAAGAAACACATCAAACCTTGTAGTTATGTACTTTTGTTATCAAATGGAGGTTGTTAGGGTCTGCGAATGACTAGAAAGAAAAAGAACCAAAAAGAAAATCTGTAGGTTTAGTTCAAAAAACACCATACTTTGCAAACACTTAAAACTTCATAATTATCATCATAGAAAAAATGAAAACTTCACATAGACACAATAATTTAAAAATTAATCAGTCTAAATGGCGTAATGTGATGCATAAAATGGAGCTCTAACATCGGATAAGTGAAAAGGATCTAGGCAATGGCTGACCGCTGACCCACAACTTTTTTCAAGGAGGGCATGCGGGTAGGGATGGATATAGATTGGTTCCTCTCCTGTTGTGGACCGGTTGCTCAGGTGACTAGTTTGAAGAATCTTACCAAAACCGGGTTAAGTGGTATTGGTTCCCACTCTCCAAATACATGAATCAAATGGGAATTTTTAATTTCTCTACTCTTCTTTTCCACAGCCCATGGCTTTCCACTCTATTTTCTCTCTCCCATAGTCTAGCCCTAATTGTTTCAAAATCGTCCTATCATGATTTCATGCATTATGACTAATTCTTTATAATTTTGATTTTGCCATGACTTTTGAAACTAACCACCCTAGTTGTTTCCCTACCAAAAGTTGAAACAATCTCCCTCTTCTCTGCTAAAATGAACATTCCTAGTTAATACAATATCAAAGTTGAAACGACTCTTCTTATTTTAAGAGCTCATTTGGTAAATACTTCGTAACAATTACGATGAAATTTGAAATGACCGGATGTGCTGAATTTTATGATCTTTTGGTTTGCTGGATAGGATTAAGCTGAAAATGTGGGGTAACGTGGCTGAACTTTCAATGAAGTATCTAAAACAGAACGATTTGATTTATGTTTGGGGTCACTTATTTTCATGTGCTATGGATGGCCCGACAGGAAACCCAAGGGTGTTTCACGAGGTACACACCACAGGATGTATACTCTTATGCCATTTATAGTTCAGTGTTGATGTTACCGGAAAAGAAAAAGAGGTTTACTGGGGGTACTCACCCAGTGAACAACAAAATGCTGTTGGTTTATCATTTTGTTGGAGCAATATGTAAACTTGTGGACATGTTAGAAAAGTTGTTGCTCAATTGCTTCAATTGCTGCAGTCAATATTGAGAAGGCATCCAGATATTTCATTATGAACTCTAGCGGTATCTTCGAATCATGCAAAATTCTAGGCAAAGGGGACAGTGCTACCTAATGTTACCTTGAAAATTATAAGGAAATTGAAATATGAATATAATTTAAAAAGAATTCCACATTTTAAGATTTTTTCATCTTAATATATTTGAAATAAATGGATAATATATGAATTAGGAAAAACCCAAAATTAAGTTATTGGGTTTGAGCTTTTCCTTTATCCACCTCTAAATTTTATTTCCTTCCCATTTTTTTCTCTACTTTTTTTTTCCTTTCAAAACACCCATTTTCTTCTCTACATTCCTCATATATCCTTTTCCTAATATTTTCTAGGTTTGAAGTCAACCTTAAGGACATCTTTACTTCATACTTAGTTTCACCGTTAGCTTATTAAGACAAGTGGAATAACAATTTTTGGATAAATGTGTGTTTAGTAAACACCATTTGTCCATTTATGTCTTATACTTTTGCTTAGTAAGGCACTCACCTCATGTTTTATTAAGCAACATGTTAAACTTTTTTACATTGACAAGTCTAGTTCTCCTTGCATCCCACAGTTACAGTCTCCGGAGCACCCCCACCCCTACCCCTAAACCGTGGGGTTGGGGTGAGGTAGGGGGCAGAGAATAGGGGTAAGGGGGTGGGGTAGGGGGTAGAGTGTGGGGGAGGGAGTGGTAGTACCGGAAGGGTAAAGTCCTTGAAGGTTATAATTGACATTTTAAAGTTAAACCATGTTTTAATAAATGCCTCGGTCCCAGAAAGTACGTTTATCAAGCAGCTCTTATTAAATAGCGGGTTAATAAAACATGTTATTAATAAACAGCGCTTACTAACCAGTGAAGTAAACATTCCCTAAGAGCCTTTATCACCTATGGAGACAATTTAGTGTGCTTCTGGAAGCAAATAGTTTGAAATAAATGCCCAAAATATAACAATCCACATGCAAGATTTTATCTCAAAATTATTTCCTCCATTTGTATGGTATCTAATTTTAGCCAAGATGTGGTTTTCTTCCAATTTGCTTGACCATGGACTTTTTTAAGTTGTGCACTTCTTACCCATCTCAGGGTCTTGATGTGCAGAAACTTCTTTGTTCTTTTCCTTCACTACAATTCAAATGTAGTATTAACTTGTTCTCCATAACCTTACTGGGGATCTCCATCCTTTTGTTATATTCTTTTGAAGAATTCTTGTTTTGGTAATGCAGATTTTGGATACAGGAACTGGTTATAAAAACTAGATTAGATGGATCAATGTGTCAATAACCAATATATTGTAAATTTAAAATATGATGTGATGTTCAAATGGAAAGAACAAGCCGGTTAACTAACAAGTAGTGCAAAAACCTTTGGCTATATGATATATATAATCAAATTCATTTCATTTTCATTTCATTTACCCCAGTGCCGCAAAGGCACCTACGGTGGGGTAAGGGGGGGGTCGGATGTATGCAGCCTTACTCCTGTACTAAAGCACAGAGAGACTGTTTCCTGATGACCCATAGTGAAAATCAGGTCCAAAATTGCATGGACTGACTGCGGCTTCATAACAAAGACACGGAGACAGTTTAGTGAGCCATTTTGCTTTATCCATCATATTCTAAGCCAAAAAATAATGAATCTTTGGCTCCATTGCAAATGATGGAACAATATATAATGATTATAATCACATCACCTGTTTAATTGTATTTATCCAATTTAACCTGTGTAGGTAATTGTGAAAGATTTTAATTTTGTTGCTAGACTTGATAAGGCTTCTACCTGCCAGGAAAACAGGAAAACAGAATTTAGTGGTCAGTACCAAGTGCTTACGTTTAATACTTTAAAATGCTACCTATGTTGCTTCACTTCATATTCTCTTCAACTTTTCTGTACAATTTTACTACTCTTGGCATGTAGGCTATTGTTTTGAACAGGGAATGTTATATGAAAATGAAAAGATGCATGTAGCGTAAAATGCAGTTTTTATGTTTACTTTACCTGCAAGTATGATGAAAAACGAAGAGCGTCTTTGCTAGTACCGTACTTGGCATCTATGCTATGTTCGGAACAGGTAAAATTGTAGGGAAGTGAAAAAATGTACGTCACATAATTTTTTTATATGTTCTTTACCATAAAGGGAAGTTGGAAGATTTTTTTGGGACATTTCAAAAAGGTAAGTGAGAAGAATTTTTTGGGACATCCCAAAAAGGTAAGTGAGAAGAATTTATTGGGACGGTTAGTATATTTAAAGTACTACGTATATACCATTAATAAAGAATAGAAATAGAAAATTTCTTAATTTAACGGGAAAAAAAAAATCTAAAATCTCCCTCTTCAGCCGACTCAGCTAAATAAGTGCTAACTATAAACTTAGTTTTTCATCATTTGCCAATGCAGCATGAGAAAGTGAAAAATTATTGTGGAAAAAAATCTGGGCGATAAGACTTAGAAGCCAGAAAACCATTTTACCGAATAAGCACCAAATCTTATTGATTAGTTGCAAAGATTTTACACGTATCTAGACTTCTTAGTTTTTATACGAAGTATATCATAGTAGTAGATAATAGGAAGTATTGAAAAAACTTAGTCTTTATATATACTGCTAGTATGTAATAGATAATAGGAAGCATAAATAAAACGAATGGACTAATATCTAAAGCTGGTTTATTGAGTTTGAAACAGTTTGTCTTTCCTTGGAGATTTCACATCTGCATTCCCTCCCTCCCTCCCCCCCCCCCCCCAGCATATTGCGGTTCCAAGCAGACCCATAATGATTTGCAATTATTGGAAAGAATGACTTATAAGTACACTGTGTGTAGATCATGTATAATTTCCATTTTCATGCCTATTGATTAAAAAATTCAGCTGAAGATCGGCAGGAGATGCGCAGAAGTCGGCTTTATTTATGGCAAGTGTTCTTCAGCAACCCAGATGAGTGGTGGGACAATAGGAGTAAAAAGGTAAATCGCAACAGTCCAGATTTTAAGCACAAGCATACTGGTGAAGCGCTGTGGCTCATGCAGGATGATCCACCATGGGTTAGAAGACAACTTGAGTTGCAGGATTCTAAATCTGTTGAAACAGATTCAGGAAATTTAGAAGTTTCTCCCTTGACATATGAATGATTAACTGAGCAATTTCTCCCGTACATAGGTGCATATTATATCATTCTTTTTACTTGTTTCATCATTACTATAAGTGTGTGCATGACCAAAGTGTTGTTTTTCAATCATCTAGGAGTTTTGATCTAATTTCTGGATAAGCGGCAGATTTGGCCTGTCTTGCACTTTAATTCCTTTCAAGGGAAATGGAACAAATCCGGTGTTTGAAAGGCCAGTAGAGTGGCATCAGCAAGCAGGAAGAAGACAATGCACAGAAGAGTCCAAGTGAAAAATAGTGTACAACACTTTTAGGCTATGTTTGGCAGCCACATAAGCTCAAAAAGGGCTGAAATATTTTACATCCAGTCAATTCTGGTAAAAGTAATCACGTTCGTTTGAAGAGCCGAAGAGGGTTTAAGCTGAAATTTTTGGATTGAATTAAAATGTTGAGCTGATTTTTTTTAAATAAAAAAATTGATATGTAGCAATATTTATGAAAAGTTAGGTACTACATTGATAGTTTTCAATAATTCGTATCCTAGATTGATAATTTTCGATTATCTGGGTCCTATATTCATACATTTCATCTATCAGGCCCCAAATTGATAATTGGTGTATCTTTCACGTTCTGAATTGATAAAAACAATAACGTATCTATCTACCAAACTAAAGTATTACATTTGGACTATTGTTATATTGACGGAGACATGATGCATCACAAGTCACAACTAGGAAAATACTATAGACCTACTTCAAATGCCATCATGGTATTAGGGCGTGGAGATGGATTGCCTGTGATGATCAAGGTGATTTCATTTAAGCTAGCCTTGGACCCGGTTCGGGCCACCCGGCCCGCTATTGTGCGGGCCTGGCCCGGTTCTTCGGGCCCCAAACCGGGCTATGACCCAGTTGTATGGAATAAGCGGGGCGGGCTAGGGCTGCATAAATGGGGACCCGGCCCGGCTGAGCTCGGGCCTGGTTCGGGCCAAAACCAATTTTTTTTGTTTTTTCAATTTTTTTGGGTTTTCCTAGGTTGGGCTTGATGTTTTTTTTTGGGGGGGGAGGGGGGGGGGGGGTAGTTAGGAAAGAAAAAAAAATTACAAGCCGGCCCGAGGCCCGGCTCGAGACCTGGCCCGGCCCGAACTGGCCTCGGTTGCAACCCGGGCTGGTCCCGGGCCTTCCCCCATCCACAAAAGGCCCGATCGGGCCTAGGCCTGGCCCGGGCCCGACCTTTCTCGGCTCAATGCCTAATTTAAGCTTGCAATGAGTCAAAACGAGTTGATTGCAATGAGTCAAAATGAGTTGATTGGAGCCCGACTGAAACAGAGGCAATGGAAGTTAAGGAGGCCGTTGCTGTTCGGGAAGGTTGGGAATGCGTTGAATTTGAGTCTGATGCTCTAGTAATGGTGCAAGGAGTGTGAGGTGAGAAAAGGGCTCTCCTATCTTGACTTGTTGATTGACGACATACGCAGGGGTGGAACCAGAACATAATTGAAGAGGTGGCTAAAAAAGATCAAACCGCCGGGTTGAAAAGATCTATAATCTCTACTGCTTTTTGAGTATATTTACAATAATTTGATCTCAAATCTAATTCAGAAGAGTTATTCTCGTTTTCATGAAGTGGCACTTTATTTGGACTATATATAATTCACACAGAACTACACAAGCGCACACATACATATACATATCAACTTAAATATAAACATTTATTTATTTTTATACTTGTTTTGTTAGTGTCTAAACAAAATAATAGATTTCATTTTTTCAAGCGAGTTTATTTCGATTTAATATGTTTCTCCTTTTGTTTTAGAATATCAAGATTTATATACAAATATAGCTAAACAAAAACATAGTACTCCGGTATTAGATATTAACTTATCAAGAAAATAAGAATTTTGTTTTTCTCTTTCCAAATCAACGTTACTTGTTGGTTCTATTTTGTAAAAGGATATTTGTTTTATTTATGCAAATGCATTACATAAATGTGATTATTCTCATACAAAGTCACATATTTCAAATAGTAACAACAAAATTTTGACATATTTGTACTTAGACATGACCTATTTGTAATGATAAATAGTATTTATCATTCTTTCTTTACAAATACCCCTTAGTGACGGAATTTATCATTTGTCAAAAGGTCTTTCTTAATCAATTGCACCAGCATTCGTCCTTAGTGGCATGGAGAGAAAATATTAGTGGTGAATTGGTTACTTGGATGTCTTGATTTAGCGGAAGAAATTTGTTTCTCTTTTTTCAGTTGGTGGATTGACCAGATTCTTAGTGGCAAATCTTCCTTTCATAAAAGGAAAAGGTGAATCTCTTTAAAATCATTCTTTTATTTATTGCCTGCCGTGAATACTACACAAACTTGTACGGACTATGGAGTAACGTACTCAAGATTCTTCATATGCCTAGGGGGCTAGAGGCCACTTTTGTCTATTTTACAGGGATGCAAGGATTTGGATCCTCTACTGTACGGTAGAGGTGCGCAATCCAACAACAAATAGCAATAGGGGAGGAAAGCTTTGGGAAGGGGAGAGTAGATCTTGTCGCTATAATAGCCACACACTCTATCCGATTGCCAAAGCTAGACAGAATCTAGATCGTAATTGCAATATGTGATTTCCAAAACTGAGACAAATCCGATCAATTCTTCCAAAGTCAAACCAAAGTTAAACCAAACTTCAACGTTGGTCTAATCTACATTGTAAGGTCCGAAATTTGTAGATAATTCAATCAACCTCACGTCAACAGTCATTTCACAGCAATCAACTTATGATGCTCCCCCAACTCATCAACAATGTGTGATAAAAATTCTAGATGATGAGCTTTGGATAAACTGTCATGTATAGTACCTGTTCAGATTGCTCCATACACATGACGGGTATAACAAGCTATATGAGCAATCAACCCTTGCACCATCTGAGAGGGGGTCACAGTTTTCTCCTCTTGACGCCATACAATGACAAAACAAGGACGATTCTCTCAAAGGATGCAACATTTGAGGGGGAGTTTTCAATTGTGTCCTCCCCGGTGCCAAACAATGACAAAGCATACTGAGTGCTCCAGCTGAGGGGGAGCACAGAGAGAAAATGAACAAAGAGAATGAGAGAATGAGATAGAAGTCCCTATGGCTTAGTAAACCCAACTAAGCATACCCAAGGGATAAAACCGAGAGTAAGAGAGTGAGTGAGTGAACACTATGAGCGTTAGGAAGCAGAAGACTCAAGTGAGCAAGAAAACAATAACTAATTATAAGTCTGCTACCTCAAATTCCGGCTATCAATTGATCAATTACTACCAGTCACTCAAATACTTTGGACAATCCCCATAGGTTCAGGACTGAATTTATTCAGATCCCGGGTAAAAGACACTGCATCTTGTCCAAACAGTGCATGCATAACTCTACCCTAGACATGTATTTAATCATATTCCACGGGGAACCTCATCTCTTCTCATTAATGTAACACCCCTACCCGGCCCGGAAGGCTAGGGAACGCTACCCGCAGTGCCGGAGCACCAAAGCGCTAACTAACTATTTCTTTATTATTTATACTTTTAGCTAATTTTAAAGGAGAATAATAACATATTTTATCAAGGTCCTTAAATTGCGGAAGCATAAATATATTACACATCAAGTAGTGGTATAACCAAGTACATCCATGAAAACTGATCATTCCATGTTTATTTACTAATATGCTAATGAGCACTAATCATGCAAACTAGGGATGAGTTATTACTACTTGTGCAAATTCAAATGTGACTCTCTGGTGATTGGCTGCTTCTTCCCCAAATGCTCCTTGACTTGAATTCCGACTTGCAACGCTTATTGACCTACGCGAAGGACAAAAATCCAACGCGCTAAGCAAATCTTGCTTAGTGGTGTTCATTCTTTCTCATATAAAAATTCGTCACATTAAACCAATATAATTTGTAACAATATAATACCAAAGCAGCTTATAATTCCGAGTTTGAAAATCGTATTCATAGATAATGTAGCTTAACAATAAATTATCAAAATGAACATTATTAGTTCAAAACAAACAACAACTATTCGTATCTCAAGTGAAAATATACTCTTTACGCTTTTAGCATTCTTTTCACTTTTCAATGCACTATTGAGATTTTCTCAATTTACATTTCCAAATCAAATTTCTATACGTTTCTTATTTTCAGGAATTTTACTCCTTAGTTTAATGGACTGGATAAACGGGGCATTCCTCATCTGGTACTGTCCACTCTGTGGCTGCGGACCATCTGAGTAGTATCGGCAATGTCCGTTGTGTGGGTCAGGCCTATCGTTTGGATACTGTCCACTCCGTGGCTGCGGACCCTAAACGATCGAGTTTCAAAATTTGGGTACTGTCCACTCCGTGACTGCGGACCCATAATTTAATGTCATAATTCGGGTACTGTCCACTCCGTGGCTGCGGACCCGGAATTAATCCATTAAATTCTACGGTCGTATTAACTATCCCTATTGGCATGTCAACCTATCCAATCCCAAACAAAGTTTCAAGTTCCGTTTTGTTTTATCCATTTACATAAAGTCTGTATCATAACATTATTATAACTATCATTTTCCATTTCAAACTAATATCATTATAATTAAACAAAAATATAAACTATAACTTGATATATATATATATATATATATATATATATATATCCGAGATTGTGATTATAAAAATGCTCTCGTACTTGCTCATATTAGCATATACTTAAGCAATTTCAAATATAGGTTTTCGTGTGTATAATATTTTTATTTTTATTTTTAAATTGACTTTATTATAGATCCCCCCTCAATATTTATGTATTTATTTTATACGTAACTTGATTTTACAAATTTTGAAGTTCGTCATCGTACTTAATTTATAACTACTACTAGTTTAGCTCCAGTTGATGGAATCCAACCCCCTAAATTATAAATAATTTGCTAACACACTTATACTTAAAATTTAACGTGTTACACATATAAAAGATTGAAATTCAACTCATAGATAATAATTCGAAAACATTAAGTAGACATGCACACCTTTTAGTTTTAAGAAAATATTTTATTAGACCCATTTGAATCCACTTTATTATACCGAATTGTATGAGTGTATAAGAAATTCTAACGTGTATGAATTTTGGCTCTATAACTTCCTATTTATATAAATCTTCAGAATTACTCAATATTATGTTAAATACTAGTTTTTAACTTATTATAATCACAGTAACTCCAAGTTATACTACTTATACCCAGAATTTCGAATTTTCTTATTGAAAATGATATTTCCTTGTTCGGTATATTAATTTAGGAACTTTGAAAAATCATATTTCTCTCTTATGCGATGTAGTACTTTGAAAAATAACTTTATACTTCAAAATATGTCTTTTCATATTTTTAGTTTACATGCGTGAACTTAACATGTAAAGTAGTTAAATGAGACATGTTTTAATATCAGAAAGGACACATCTTTAAAAGTATCATTTCTAGTAAATTTCTAAAAGAGACCTGGCTTGCTCCTAGATGGACACATTTCTTAATTAATTTTAAATATACTACTACGTACATCCATATGTAATTAATAAAACATAATAATGCTATAATAAAATTGCATAATATAACACGAGTATAATCAAATAGTAAAGCATAATAGTAAAGTTCTGATTA